GCCCCGCCGTGCCCCACCCCCTCCCCTCCGCCACTCACTCGCCACGATGGGCCAGCCCGTCCGGTGCCTGGGAGGAGTGCGAGCGCCCGTTCCCGACTCGCCGACCGACCTGCGGCACAAACGTTCCAGGCTCAAGGGTGATGGCGGCGCCCGCTGCAATTTTTAAAGTGCGTCATTCTCCCCGCTCTCCAATCAGACGCAGGGACTGTGGGAAGAGCGCCAACTATTGGCTGAGACGCCGGGCGACGTTTCGAGCCGAAGAAGGAAGCGGCGAGGAAATACTGTAGTGATGAAAAGGAGGAGGAAGAGGAGGAGGAGGGCAGGTATCGTCTCAGAGACAGGAAGGAGACAATCCAAATGCAAAGTATCATACATTATAAAGGTGTCGCCTCTTGTTGCATTTGGATTTTATTTCGTTTTGGCCACACGGTTGCCCTTTTACTTCAAAGAAAAGAGGGAATGAATGATAATAGCTAGCTTCTGTGAAGAAGAGTTTTGGTGTGAGATATCAAGGGTCTGAAATCAAAAGTTACAAGTGTATACTTTACACGGAGATCATCCATTTAAAAGGGCGCCATAACTCGGAAACGTACTTAACGGCATATAGCAGACACGCACACACGGGGGAGAAAGTGAACAGTGATACCACACAGAAGTAAATACAGCACCTTCGAGGTGTCCACGAAAGCTCACATCAAAATAGAATAGTTATTAAGCTGCCTTGTGTTTTTGTCTTTTTTTGTGTGTTGTTTTGTTTCTTTGGATTTTGTCTGATACAGAACCTTCGGGTAATTAAAGACATCCCTTCCGGGGTATTTCCGATGGTTAAGAATTTGAAAGGTAGATACAGGAGAAAGCGGGGAAATTTGTGGCGTCGGAGGACAGTTTTACGTTTCTGCCATGGGACGGCCAGGAAGACAAATAAGTGTGTGTGTTTTTTCCAGAGCAAATCAAGCCTGAACTCAACCCGGGACTGAAGCGACCAAATTAAAGCTGTTGTGCTTTAGTTGTATCACGAGAAGGCAAAACTCACTTGAGAAAGACAGGAATGCTAGGAAAAGTGGACAGCAGTAGGAAACGAGGAAGACGTGACACGGGATGGATGGATTTGGTAAAGGAAACCGCGGCCACGTATTTGCAAGATCTGAGCAGGACTGTACAGTATTAGGGTTTTCTGCAGATTGCTAAAGTATTAGGGCGCCATAACTGTTAAAACAACTTGCTGGCACATTACAACACCTGTCTGGAAATTCGGAGGGGGGTGGAAATGTGAATTGCATTTTTTACTTCCAAAAACCAACGATAATTTTTATCCCGCTTATGGGCGGGACAATTAAAAACAACGCAGCAGCCCTTACCTTCTTGAAGAGAAAGAACAACAACTCACCCGAACAACACTTTTAGTTAAGTAAGCAGAGGCCGACAATTCCACCGGCCGACGCTAGGGGGACGGGGCTGGGAGTGCCTCTTTAAGCTTTATACAGGTTGGAGCCAATAAGCATGGCGCACTCATGCGCGGGGCTTCAGCTGGGCTTCTTTGAGATGTAACGCCGTTGGCGATCGGGCGAGGAAGGGCGCGAGCGGAGGGGGTGGGTAACTGTTTCGAACCGTGAGGCTCGCGCGCTCAGGAGCGGGGAGGGGGGGGGCTGTGCGGGCCGGGATTTTAATAGTACCAGACGTTCTCTGTTACGCGTGTTCTTTGCGGCATTGGGCGGGCGGTATTGGTTATTGTTTCTTAAATCTGGCTGGGGGGAAATTGTCTCGAGTCATCCTCTTTTGGGTCTAACAAAGGCAGAAGGAAGGGGTAAGTTAGTTTGCTTCCTGGGTTGCTATTCTGTTTAATGGTGACCTACCAAGCATTTACTCCCTGCTTTTCCTGGCCATTCTTTTTATCTCGCTCTAGCCAAAAAGTTGTGCAAAGCCATCAGTTCACAAAGCAGGCAACTCAACTTTGATTACTCTTGTTTGTAAATACAATCGACATTGCTTGAGACAGCCTCTTTTAGAAAGAATACGGTATTTTGATAGACTTATCTAAAAATCGTGATCATCTCTTCTGTGTTGATTCTCTCCATACACATATTAGGTGGCATTTGCTTTCTTTACCCAAACAGACTATTAATGATTTTGTATTTTATAATTAGTTTGTTGTTTCAAACAAAGTCATTTTTCTTTGCTTTCTTGTGTGCTTGGTCGACTTCCTGGCCCAGGTTTACATACATAAGCAGGTTGGTAAAGACACTGATTGCGTTTCAGTGTTACCTGTTAATAAGGGGGAAATTGCACTCAGATTTAGAATTCAGAGATGAATTGGTTTTTCTCTTTTTTAATTAGTGTCACTGATTTTTTTTCCATTTTAACTAGTGCCATGGCGGAGGCAAAAGGGCCCACTCATCTTCTCGATGTCTGTCATCAGAAATTATCAGAATTCCTGTTCAATGCAGAACATAAATGCCTGGTATGGCTGCGAGAAATTGAGGAGGAAGCTCTGAAGATGTTTGACAGGTAGGTCTAGTCTTTAGAAAGGATGGTCCTGTAATTCATATGAGATTGGCGAAGATGTCTCTCCACAGTGCTGTTAATTAATTGCTTTGCAAGTCATTGTTTTATGTGATTGAGACTATTTCAAAGAATTACATAGCAAATATTTAATAAATTACTGTTGTTAGTAAAGCAGGTGGTTCCTGTCACTTTCCGTCTTCTGATGGAAAACAAGGGTGTCTGCCTATCCTATATTTTCTTTGTTAGATCCTGATGATGATTTGAATGATCTGAATATTTCCCTCAAAAGTGCATGATTTTCTGTGTGAGAGGACTTCAAATATAAATTTTCTGGTTCTCATACTTACACATACTCTATGTTATACTCCTAATAATTACATTGTCTGGCCTGTCTTAGCAGCCCCAGAAATACGGATAAGATTGTAGCTAAAACAGAAAAGGAATGCAGTTTTATTCTTGTTGCACTTGTTAACTGCAGTTTTTTGGGGGTGTTTCCCCCCCCATGCAGCAACTTCAGCACTGAACCCGAGTTGATGCCCAAAACACCATCTCAGAGAAAGCATCGAAAGAAGAAACGATCTTCATTTTTTAAGGATGAAAATAAGGAGCTAACTAGAAAACGGTTAGTAATACTCAGTTTTTTACTTTGAACCAGCTGCATTACACAAATGGACAAAGAGTAATGCGTGAACTTGAAAGAAAAATAGATTTTCCTCTACTTAAACCTGTATGTCGATCACTAGCCAGAATCCTATTGGTTAGTTACACTGGTGTATGTACAATAGTAAAAATAGTAGCAGCAAATTGCTCCTAATTAATGAGTTGCCCTTTAGCACTGGTCATGTGAGTTGGTGCATAGGGATGTAGGCGGCAACTTATTAACTTCTGGCAATTCATTACTGCAATTTGTGCAGTTACATTTATATTAGTATAAGAAGTGAGTAGGATCCTGGCTATAGTATAAAAGAGCTATGTTGATTTGGTGCATGCCCAGGAGTCAGTTTTAACATGTTATGGTGGTGGTTCCCAGATTTTGCCAATGTTGTGTTTTCTTCCTGTTATGTTTGCCTGCTGCCTCCATATGACAAAACCATTGCCTCTTTCATCTTTGAATTCTGAACAGGAAAAAAGGTGAACTTGTCATGCAGTCATCTTTAGCACCTAGTGCACTCTGCATGACGGGTCAAACACAGGCACCGTCAGGTGCCCGGTACTGAGTATACCCATGCTGGTGACTACCACGATTAGACAAGTGAATAAGAACTTAACATGCCTATTAAGAACTGGCTGGATAGCTAAGTGAGTTGGATAATTTGGCTTTTTTAAAATATTAAAATAAAAATACAAACGAATAATGCAAAAGAAAGACAACTAAAAAAAGCCTTGATAACACACACAAATATTTAATACATAAAAGACAGCCTGTTCTTGAATACTTGCTTGACCCATCTGTCATGCACAATTCACCAGCATAACAAATTCACCTTTTTTCCTGTTCAGAACCCAAGCACTTGTATATCAAAATAAGCCATACAACTTTATAAAGATAACAGAGACAGTGGTTTTGCTGTATGGAGGTGGCAGGCAATCATAACAGAAATAAGTAGAATAACAACTAGAGATGATAGAGGGATTTAGTGCAATCATGCTCATTTGTAACAGAAGCCGGCTTCAGGAAACAAAGCTCTGTAAGGAAAATCCTTTAATAAGTTTGCAGTTACTAGTGCCACCATGTGGTTTGAATGGAATAATGTACGTACTGTATTCAGAATATTTCAGTTTTTAAAGAAGTCCATCCATTGTTGTTTTAAGATTGTCTAAAAGAAGAAGTGGTGTAAAGACAACATCCTTCCAGAGATTTTCCCCAAATAAAGAGGAACAGGAGAATCTCAGTGTTCGGCCAGGAGAATCCATGTGTCATTTCATGACAAGCACCGCTAAAGAAATTTCAGAAGCACAGTGTGGCAAGACAGCTATGGATCAAGGAGAAGTGAATACTGCCTGTGAGCAAAATAATAAATGGAAGGAAGAGAGGGGTGAGGAGGAAATGAAAGGCTTCTCAGAACTTTTCACAGGCCATTTGATTAATGGGGCTGAGATGACTAAGACTACAGGTACAGCAGGCAGCTCTGTGCTGCCACTGTCTGACCCTACTGATCCAGCAAAGACTGAAGAAGATGCAGATACCCACAGACTGAGGAGTACATCCACTCCCAAAACATTGTTGGTTGAGAAGCCCAGGTGTGGAGAGGATGAGATGCTAGCCCAAAAGTTAGTTAACAGTTTGGTTACAGAGGGAGACATCTCCCAGGACTTAATGGACAGAAGTGGAACTCCTGTGGGTGCCCCGTCAGGGCGTCACCCTCCAAAAAGATCACACAAGACTGGGAGGATCTCCCTGGCTGACAAATACTCACTGTGTAACAAAAGGAAAAGCACAGTTCGGAAATCCGTCAGCAGAGCAATTGCCAAGAAGAAAGCCGCTCAGGACTCTTCATCTACCTGTAGTCGAGTGAGCTGTAAGTAAACACAATTTAATACAGCCTCATTGAAGAGGCGCTGCTGCGACTGTCAGTATGTAATCCACCTGTTAACTTGCAGTTTCTTTCACAGGTCAATCTCCAATCTGATGGTTGCTTAAAGTGCATGGCATTGTACAGTGGGGTCTTGACTTGAGAACTTAATCCGTATTGGAAGGCGGTTCTCAAGTCAAAAAGTTCTCAGGTCAAATCTGTATTTCCCATAGGAATGCATTGAGAACCATTTGATCCGTATCTGCTCTCTTCCGTCCATAGACACTAATGGGAAGCTGCTATTCTGCCTTCAACCACTAGAGGGGGATATTTTGTTTCTTTTTTTCTTAGGTCAAGAAAGGTTCAGGGAAGGCAGGGAAAAGACAGTCCAGGCAGTACAGTACCAGGCAGTCCGAAGACTGTCTCCCAATCCACTCTCTAAACGCTGGGAGGAGTGAGGAAGCAGACAGGCACCCTTTTCACTGGCCAATAGTTAACTGAAAGTTCAAAGTTTGCACTTTCCCTGCCTCCCACGTGGGTTTTTTTCAGTTCTTAACTCAAATCTAAGTACTTAAGTCAAGTCAATATTTTCCTATGAGAGTGGTTCTTAAGTCAAAATGTTCTTAACTCGAGTCGTTCTTAAGTCAAGACCTAAACACATCCTGATTTGCCCTCCTTAAGATCAGAAAAAGTGCACACACTCCATTTATATACATCTGCAGATTAGGGAGCATCTTAAAAAGAAAAATGTTTTTCTTTTTATCGTGGTAAATGCTCTACTCCCATTTCCAAAATCAGTATCAAACCTGTTCCGTAGTCTATTCTTATGCCATGCAAGTGCTGTGTGAAGAAAATTTGCTAAAGGGTTTGTCAGGGGCCCAAATCCAAAGGATATCTACTTTTTTTTAACATAGGTAGAGTATAATACCCTTGACAACAGCATAAATTTTCTTCACCATAAACTGGGTCTGTTAGATTGACAAAGGTGGTAGTGAGATGAGGTGCCAGCTAATCATAGCTGCGATAAGGGAAGTCAGGTGCAGCATTTGCACATTACATAGTGAAAGTTGACTGTTGAAGTTGCTAATTTGTAACAGGCTGAAGTAAATTAACACTTGAGTGAAAAATACTGCTGTGCAGTTTGGCTACATAGAATCCATGTTAGTGCAGCTTTGGATATGTTGTATAGAAATGGAAAAACAATAAGCTTTGGTTGTTTGCTTCACTTCCAGATTAAATGAGAGCTGCTCCCACAACTCACTTTTTAAAAATTTGTTTCCTTGCCACCGGTGAAGTGGGGGTTTCATGCAAACTAAATGAGTGAAAGTAGCAGGAGGAAAGGCCCAGTGGTGGCAATATGCAAAAATGACCCCACTCCACCCTTTATACTTTGCAGTATCTAGGAATGTGTGCCAATGCTACGATTTCCTTTTCCTACTATTTAAAGGGGTAGGAAAATGCATCACTTTTTAGCCTCCAGCTAGGTGTTGCAAAGGGGAGAACTCTACACAAAGATGCTGGTTTTGATAAGAGACCTACCTCGTACATAATACGTAGTTCTGTCTCATTAAACTTCTGCTCAGCTAATGGTTTGCTTTATCTTTCTCATTTTCCAGCCCGTAGTTCCATTGAAGTATTTATGGAGGATGACACCATCAACCATGGGTGAGCAAGCTCCAGGAAATATATAGAAATCCAAATTCTTTTGGATTGTACCTTCCTGTTTCAGGTCTTTCTCTCTCTTGCACATGTGCACACGTACACACAGAGAGAGTGCATTGCACCTCCACTTGAAGACTGGCTTCCACTCTGGGTGCTTCCAGAGTACACGTTAACAGTAGCCTCGGCATGCTTCATTCCATAATGTTTGCAGGGGAGCTGGACAATATTGTCTTTAATTGCAGCCCTTCCATATTTTCTTCCTTTTTCTTTTTTCTTTCAGTCTTTTCCATACCAGATAAATTCCCCTAAGGAAAAAAGATGGAATTGCAGTATTTCAAAATATTTTTTTAAGTGAACAGTAGAAACCCTGACTTTAGGAGTACTCTTAAACTTTCCATTTAAAAAAAAAATTATTTTGCTTTTAAGGATTCTAGATCCACAACAGGTATCTTTCATCTTTTGCTCCAACTCTATCTGGCCTTATTGTTACTCAACGGTACTGGATGATAAGCATGTTTTTTCCAGTCTGCAGTATAAGCAGCTTCCTACATAATAAAACTAGGGCTTAATTGTAAAAATGGAATATTATTGTCAAAAACAGCCATGTTGACTTCATCAGGCAATGGCTGGGCAGTAAAAATCTTGCCTTCCTTGGGAAGGAGTTGCACAGCTTGGATGTTCTTGCACAAAAGGCTTTGCCTTGAAACCCCACCAGCTTCCCCTCTTTGCAAGTGGAAGAAATAGTGCAGCTACAGGAAATTAACACAAATTTTGGGCAGAACCTCAGAATATAACCAAGTAGATTTGGGGACATTGAGTTTTACCAGCTCTACTATATTAACTGTCTCGGCTTACTTGGGGTTATCCTATAAGTGGTTCTCTTGAAAGTTCCTAAAGCCTAATCAGATCAGAAAACCATTGTTTTGGTCTCTGCTGGGATGGATAACACTTGTCAAAATGCCTCTCTTTAGGCTTTTGTTGAATGCTGAGTCTGGTGAGGTAAGGTCTTGGTGGTATGCCTGCTGAGTTACACTTGGTGAACTGTGTTGGCTTCTTGTTGCTTAAATACCGATTATTAGTCTGAATGAACCTGTACAATCCTGTCACCTATCACTAATTTACTGTTGCAGTTAACATGTAAAGATGGCTGGTGATAATTTTAAACTATTAGATGTTAGGATCTTCTCAGTCAAGGAGTTTTAAGGCACCCGATCCAGGGCTTGGAGGGTCTAGGTTCATCTCTGTTTTTTTAAACACACTTTTGGTGTGTATTGGGAAGGTACTCTGTTTCCTGCCTGTATACATCTTTTGTGTCAAACCGTCTTGTAAAAATATCCAATTAGTCTTGTAAATACAGTGGTGCCCCACTTGACGATGAGTCATATCCAATTAGTCTTGTAAATACAATGGTGCCCCACTTGACGATGATAATCCATTCCAGGAAAATCGCTGTTAAGCGAAATTGTCATCAAGCAAAAAAAAAAAAAAACCCATTGGAATGCATTGAAAACCTGTTAATGCGTTCCAGTGGGGGAAATACTTGATTGTCCAGCGAAGATCTCCATAGGGCAGCCATTTTGCGATCACTCTCTTCCGAAGCAAGGATCGGAAAACAGCAGGAGGCCATTTTAGAAATGATCACTCTCTTCCGAAGCAAGGGTCGGAAAACAGCGGGAGGCCATTTTAGAAACCCAACGATCCCAGCTGTTTTAAATCATCATTTTGCAAACAATCGGTTCACAAAGCAAAGACCTGATTGTCGTTAAACAAAAAAATCCCATAGGAACCATCATATAGCGATCGCAAAAAAGTCATCGTACAGTGATTTTGTTGTGCTGTGGGGTAGGCGTCTAGTGGGGCACCACTGTACCTCTCAGAATTATGTAACAGTGAGTTGTCAGTCATTGTGTAGCAGTGGAAGAACATCTAATTCTTCCATGACTTATCTGGCTCAAATTTTTGGAAGGGCTATCAATGTGTTAAACATTATTTTTCTTATAGATTTCGAACACTCCACAAAAAGTGCCTTCTGGTCTAGATTCACCTAGTCTGATTATTAGTCCACCTCAAGATGAAATACAGCAAGAGGGAAAGTGCAGTAAAGGTAAATAATCCAATCCTGTTAAAGCTGCACATGCAGCAGAAACTTCAAAGGAAAAACAAAGCTGGGTGGGGAACAAAGTGTGACCTGTCTAAAGCTATGCTAAATTTCAGACTCAGATTCTTAATTCCCATTTGTACAAATTAAAGGCCAATTAATACCGGAGGTTAACGGTCACATCAGCTTTCATCATTCTTACATGCCACCTTCCCAGCTTCAAAATCTGCATACCCTTGAGCAAGGAAGCCTGGAGATGCAGCCAATTAATAATTACTTTGATATACAAACGGGGAAGTCCATTGTTAGCCTCTGATTTGAAGTCCCCTTGACTTCATATTTGAAGTGATCCCAGAAAGGAGATAGGGAAGAGGTGCAAATGTTCCCATGCCCTTGCAGGCACAAACAGAAAAGTGGAGAAGTCCATAATCTCTTCACAGAGTCTTCTTCCCAATTTTGAATAAAGGAGCTCTATATTTTTTAGTTATATAACATGTTAGTTACCATGCTAGGAGTCTAGCATCCTGCCATTACAGTCATTTGTGTAATTTCACCACTTATATTGTCACTGCTTGGGATACAGGTATACCTTGAATATGTTATTCATTTAACCCTAACTGTTACCAACTGGCTGGAACTTGTGATTAGCAGAGACCCCTAATGGAACTAGTGCTACATTTTTTTTGCAGAGGAACCTAAAACTCAGAATACTGATGTTGGATCTGAAGATTCAGCCCAGAACATCGGTACCCATGATCTGCAGAATAGCTGGTACAGTTTCTCTGCTTCATGGGACAACAAAATGTCAATAGTAACTTCTCTCTCTCTCTTGCATATCACTTCTGATAATTTTGGATTCAGTGTCTGTTTGCATACTTTTCCTGCAGGCCAAGTGTCATGTTTTTCCCCTCAAAATATAAAGTTGGAGAAATGTGAAGTAGAACATTATATAGTTCCGTATAGATTTACATTTTGATTCTTTGCATACACTTCCATAAAGTATGGAATCCATAATCTTTATTCCCAAAGTAATCACATTTTGCTGCTAGAAGTGGAATTGTAACCTGCTGTATTCTGCAAGTACTGTACCTTACATGCTATTTTTGCATGATGGAAGAAATGGAATGGCAGGTGGGATGTCAATAACATGTCAGAGAAAAAGGAAATACGGTAGTGGATTTGGCCTTGGAAGTTAGTATCTACATGTCAGCCTCATCTTTCAAGCATGACCGTACCCCAGGGTCTCTCCACCACTAATATTATTATTATTTAATTGGTGCTAGAGAATGCAGAATGACTTTTTTTCTGCATGAACAGAGGGTCCTCCAAGGTCCAGAGAGATTGGTATGCAGCCACTAGGCAACTGGCGAGTGTCCACCCGCTTTCAAGAATAAAATGCTCAAACCTTTTGTTTATGTGGAGTGGTTGGAGGCTTATGATATGTAGCGGTAGAAATAATTTATGGAACTGGATCCACATTGACTATTTCTCACTTGTTGTAAGGAGACGGAGTTGTAAACAAAACTACGGACAAGCATTGAATGAGCTGCCTACTGTCCAGCAGGTGCAAGATGAAAAATCATCTCATTCTAGTCACAAAGCCACATCCTCTCCTGCAAGTAAGGTATTTATTCTTCTATGGCCTGTCAAAGGTAAATAAACTTCAAGGGCAATGTAATCCACTCCTGTCACTATCCTGGAACTGAGTACATCCCTATTCTTCCAACAGATCATGCGTCCTTTCAAAAACTTCTTCCAGTCCATGCAGAAGAATCAGCTACTCAAGCCCTCAGGGTCACCAGCATGTAACAGTGTCAAACGTGGCACTCCTAGTAGACCTGCCACCAAGGTAAGAAAGTGTTTTTCTTCTCATTTCCAGTTAGGATTAATTAAAAAAAGTTTGAGGAATGCTTTCTGGCTGGCTCCAGAAAGACTAAAATAGACTTTCTAGACTGCTTGACTACAGATTTCCTACACAGTGAGCAAATGAGCCACAGTGGAAGGATGCATGATTTGCATGTTGGGTTTTAGGGTTTAGTCCTTGAAATCTCTGGTTAAAAGAATCTCATACAGCAGAGTAAAGTGACTTCTGCGTGAGATCTTGGGGAGCTGCAGCCAGCTGGGGAAGACAACATGGGCTGTGTGGGCTAATAATAATGACATGGCATAAGGCAGCTTTAAGTATTTCTAACTATTTCAGTCATGATCTCACACAGATCAACAGCATAGTCTGTCATGCTTTGAAAAATGGGAAGCTAGGAGATGGGGATTATTCAGAGCACACTTGCAAGGTAAGGTTCCTCTTATTTATCTGGCCTCATTTGATTGCCTTACTACTGAGGAAGCTTGAGGTCAAAGAGAGATGCCAGAGGGAGCCAGCCAGAAAGTGATTTGATTTGGTTTTGGTTTTGATCTGATATGTTTATACGTCCCAATTAACTACAGTACTCAAAATTTTTGACAGGTCAAAACGTAAAGCTCTCAAGTCCCTTCAGAAAGAAACATACAGTTAAAAAAAACAATATGATGATACATAACAATAATTAAATCATAAATATAAATAACCCTATACAATCTAAAGTTGAGCAAAACATTTTTTAACAGCATTCAAGTCAACCCCGTGCCATGTTGCCTCTTTCTACTATTCATTGCTTCATTCAGGTGGAAAGAACTGCAGTTAAATCACCTTACTCAACTGATTAGTCAGTAAGCTTGTAAACTCTTGAAACTAAGTTATTTGTTTTTCTTTTCCATGTTCATCCATCAAAGGGAGATTTCGTTGTAAGTAACTCTTGTTGTCTGTGGACCTTGTGTGGTGAATTGCTTCATACACTTAACCTGAGGACATTTTCCACATTGATTGTATGGGGTTCTATACTGGAATGGCTAGTGGTTCATGTGCGGACCTTCACACAACTTGTCCTATTTTTAGCTCTTGGAAGTGATGGTGAAAATATGTTGCACTGTCTGTTGCAGCAGTAAACAGTTGTAATGACTGAAAACAGTCTAAGCTATCTAATATCTTAGGAAAAAGAGCGGCAGCGTCTAGAGAGTCTGAGGAAAAAACAGGAAGCAGAGCAGCAGAGAAAAGAGAAAGTAGAGGAAGAAAAGAGACGGCGATTGGAAGAAATAAAAATGTAAGTAACTGTGTGTTTTTTATCCAGATTGGTAGTGGGCCAAAGGGTTTATCAGAACAGTAACGTTGTGGGCTGAAAGAGCTATTCTTGGTACTAAAGGGGCAAACACCGGTTCGAAGATATGGCAAGACTATCCATTGAAACAGATAGCACTAAAAATATGTTCCTTTCGTATCTGTGTGTGTGTTTGCACATCTCACAGAAAGCGTGAAGAGCGCCTAAGAAAGGCAGTGCAAGCTCGAGAGCGGGTGGAGCAAATGGAGGAAGAAAAGAAGAAGAGAATGGAAAAGAGTGAGAAGGTAGGACTGATTCCTGTTTTCCTGGCTTGGTAGCAGAAAAGAGGTGCAGCAGTCAGCTTTGCCAACCCTTTTTATACAGTGGTTTGATGGCAGGATAACCACCTCGCCAGATTTGAAGAAGGCTTTTTTCTGAGAGGCCAAGGATATTTGGTACAAATGCCTATGTATGCTTGGATACAGAAAATGTGGTTGCATTCACAAAGATATGAGAGACCCAGTTTGGTGCTGAGATTTGTATGAAAAGGTATGGAGAACAATTCCTTTCTTAGGAAGAACTGCCAAGGATGGTACCTCAAAGAGGCATTGTGAGATAGGAGTCAGTTTGGACTTAATCAAAAAGGTTAGATTTCACCTCCACACAGCCACCCAGTAACAGCCACTATCACCAGAATCCTACTGGTGAGTTATACTTTCGGAATAGCAATTTCCTATGCAAGTGTAAATTGCAAATAGCACTCTGGCCTATGAGTTCTTGTGCAGTATTGCTTCTCAGATTGTAGTCTGAAATAGGACAAGTTGCATTTAAAAAGTTTTTTTTCCCAACAGTTAAGAGAGGAGAAAATGACAGAAGAGAAAATAAAAAAGAAAAAGTCTCTTAAGAAAATGGGAGAAGTAGAAGCCCGAAAGCAGAAGCTGCTCCAGGTGGTAAGTACTATCCTGACTTCATGTAAAAAGGTATATACAGAATAAAAAGTTACAGGGTGGGAGAGCTGTACATTCTACAAATGGAAATAATCAAACTCCTGAACAATACTTTATAATTATAATATTGAAACTAATTTTGCTATTAATTTAATGTATCACAACCTACAGGACTTCTTACAGAAGGAGCTTTATTTAAAGTGTTGATGCCTGGGGGTGGGGGTTGTTCTTACTATTAACAGAACCATGCCATAATGAATTTTCAAAAAGAGTGAAGTGAGCAGAAAAAATGAGGTGGTAAAAATATGCTGCTGCTTTTTAAATTTTCTGGAATGTTTTACAGTAAAACTGTCAAATATTCCTATCAGCAGCATTTAGGCATCCTTCAGCCTTGAGAGATTATGGTAATGTGTTCTGTGTGGAGGACTTGGAACAGCTTCTAGTGTGGCTGAGAAGGCCAATTCTAGAGGGACAATCCATTTCACACTGAAGACAAATACAATCTGTCCCCTGTCCAGCTCCCTGATTTTGCTGCTTTTGGGACTGCCTCTTTGCCTTGGCCTGCTGGACAAGGGTCTCTTCAAATTGGGAGAGGCCGTAATGCACCGCCTACCTCCAGGCTGAATGCTCAGCTGTCAGATTCCTATCAGACAAGAAGCAAAACAAAATGGAAATACAAACAAACAAACGAAGATAAAAGTGTTGTGGCACCGTAAAGACAAACTGCTGTATTTTCATGTGAGTTTTTGTGGAACAAATCCACTTCTTCAGACATAAGAGTGAACATTCATAGCTATAGATAATTTAGCCACCAGCTATTTTTGCTGTTTATAGAACAGAGCTTCAAAAGAAAAGAACTGAGAACCGCTATCCATTATTTTCTTGAAATCATGGGAAGTGGGTGAAGTGCCAGAGGACTGAAGGAGGGCCAATGTTGTCCCTATCTTCAAAAAGGGCAAAAAAGAGGAACCTGGGGACTACAGGCCAGTCACCCTGGCACCAATCCCAGGCAAAATTCTGGAACAGATCGTAAAGCAGTCATTGTGCAGGCACCTAGAAAACAATGCAGTAATAACTAGAAACCAACATGGATTTGTCAAGAACAAATCCTGCCAAACTAGAATTTGATCTTGTTTTTTTGATTGGGTAACCTCCCTGATTGACAGAGGGAATACTGTAGATGTAGTATATCTTGACTTCCGCAAAGCTTTTGACAAAGTGCCCCATGATACCCTGATTAGCAAGATAACTAGGTGTGAGCTAGTTAGATCAAGTGTCAGGTGGATACGCAATGGGCTACAGAATCGCACTCAGAGGGTGATGATTAATGGGTCCTTCTCTAATTGGGAGGAGGTAACTAGTGGGGTACCTCAAGGTTCAGTTCTAGGCCTGGTGCTCTTCAATATTTTTATTAATGACTTGGATGAGGGAGTGCAGGGAATGCTTGTCAAATTTGCAGATGATACAAAATTGGGCAGAATAACTAATACTCTAGAACCAGGGTCCCCATCCCCCAGCCTGCAGCCCGGTACCAGGCCATGGCCTTGGCAAGACCAGGCAGCAGAGACAGATCTCCCGGGGGCCCCCGCATGTACACCCCCAAGACACACACAGCCCCCACGCATACACACAGTAGCTAACAGCTTAGAAGACAGAAACAAAATTCAAAATGACCTTGATAGGATGGAGCACTGGGCTGAAAGCAGCAGAATGAAATTCAACAGGGATAAGTGCAAAGTACTGAACCTCAAAAAAAGAAACCAATTGCACAGTTACAAGATGGGGGATACCTGGCTCAGCAAAAGTGCTAGGGCTACCAAGTTGTGTTTTCTACTCAGTGCTTTGTCTAGAGACCGGTTTTTCCTCTTTGGAAATGATGGCTTGGCTGAGATCATTTCAATTCTGGCTAAAACTTTTCTACAACTCTGACCCAGATAGTTTATTATATCAACTATTACTGGACTCTAAACCTCCCTTTGGGTCTTGTTGTTTAGTTGTGTCTGAATCTACTGCCCTTTAAAAGAAACTGAAATGGATTGGTTTAGATAGTGGGTACCTGGATTCACTAAATCAAGGGGAGCCTTCCAAATGATCAAAAGAAGGATTTTGGACATTGGATTCCAGGAACTATGAAACACAGCCAATAAGACCTGCTCACCACTGTTCTCCCACATCCCCTTTAAGACTGGAAAACCACCTGCCTTCCTTTCCTTGCTTAAGTGTCCACAAAAATGCAAAGCATTCTCCCTAGCCAGATGCAATGTTATGCCTGCAACCTTGCTGTATGGTAGGTTCAAAGGAATCCTGTGCCTCAAAAGACATTGCTCATGCGAGCAGGGTGCATTGGAAACTCTTGCCCACTTGTTTCTGCACTGTCCACTCCACCAGAGTGATTGCTTCAGATTTGTGCAACCGGTCCTGTTAAAATTGGAGGGAAAATCTGATGTGGCCAAAGTCCGTTTTATGTTATCTGTGGAGGTGCCTGACATTCTGGAAAGAATTGCAGATTTCATCAGTTCAATTGTGAGAAAGCAAAGCCTTGCTTTCAATTAAATGTCTTTGAAGGTCTTCTGCTTTCCTACCTCCTGGATTTTGTATGTGAGGGGCACTAAATTAATTAGTCTGGTTATGTTTTATTCTCTTTTATGCCAATAAAGGTTTGTCTGTCTGTGTCCAGTTCTGGACACCACACTTCAGGAAGGATGCTACCAAATTGGAACAAGTTCAGAGGAGGGCGACAAGGATGATCAGGGGGCTGGAAACCTAGCCTTATGAGGAAAGGCTGAAAGAAGTGGGCATGTTTAGCCTTGAGAAAAGAAGACTGAGAGGAGATATGATAGCACTTTTCAAATATTTGAAAGGCTGCCATACAGAGGAGGGGCAAGATCTGTTCTCGATCATCCCAGAGTACAGGACATGCAACAATGGACTACTCAAGTTAAAGGAAGCCAGATTTCAGTTGAATATCAGGAAAAAAAATCCTGTTAGAGCAGTATGACAGTGGATCCAGGTACTTTGAGAGTTGGTAAGTGGTCCAACACTGGAGGCATTCAAGAAAAACTTAGCTAATCAACTGGCAGATATGCTTTGATTTGTATTCCTGCATTGAGCAGTGGGTTGGACTTGATGGCCTTGTAGCCCCCTTCCAACTTCACTTTTCTATGATTCTGTGATTCTATATCAAATAGGAGTCTTAAAGTCATTTACAAATATGAAATCTCATACTGACTAATGCAATCTGCAATTTGTGCCTACTAACCAAACACCATCTCCTTATTTTGGAACCATGTATAAATATTTGCCATGTAATTTCACTCATATGTCTGAAGAAGTGGATTTGTTCCACAAATGCTCACATTAAAATAGAGCAGTTTGTCTTAATGGTGCCACAATGTTGTCATCCTTCCTTTTTCTCCCCCTCCTTCTGTTTTGTTTTGTTTCTTGTCTGAAATGCTTGCACAGATTAACATGGCTACCTCTTTGAAATCCATGTGGTCAAGAGGTATTGTTATTTCTACAAATCCTCAGGGATAACAAATGCGGGATCTCTTGACAAGTGATGGAGGAAGTAGGCCCCACTATTGATTGCACTCCTACATACAAATGAGATTTGAGAATGATTATGTGAACTGGCCTCCTCATTTCAAATACATTATGCTGGATCATGAAGTATTATGAACTCAAAACTCACAATTTCAATGAAACCCCTCCTCCAATGTTTAAAGTTCTCTTATGACTGGCCTTGGTGATAAACTTCTTGTTTGCCTTTTGAAAGAAATAAGCATTACAAGAGGTACCAATTAGCTGATTAAACACATAAGATGTAGGTATCATAGGTGCTTCAGAGAAACCAGACAGTGACTGCATGCATGAACAACAGCAAAGCACTATGAGGTAGATATCATTGTCCCTGTACAGTATTTCACATTTTTGCACTTGTCCTTTGGTTTTGCATAGTGGACCCTGATTCCACCGCTTTGTTTCAGGAAGGAGAGCGAAAGCCTCATGAGCAGCTGGAGAAATGGAGGACAGTTGGAGAAATTAGGAAGATGCTGGAGCACAACAGTGGGAAGCAGGAAAAACGGTAAGGACTTTGCTTCCTCAGTTATAAAAATGGGTGAGCCTGAAAAAGAGTATACTATGAATTGGACAGAGGAATTGTGGGCAGTAGAATTGTGGTGGATATACCAAAGTCAAAATCACATTGTTTTCCTCAAGCTCATTTTTACAAACTACGTTCTTCAAAGGAACTGCTTGGCATTAGAAAAACAGCAAAAAAATGTGCCAGTGGGCAAGCCCCATGAATAGCGTGGGTGGGCCTTTCAAATAAGTATCCACAGAATGGCATTGCAAGCATGTTCCCAGGCTCAGCTTTCTCTTCGTTTTAGGCACCATGGACAACAGGAGAAAGAGAGACTGGTGAGACCTCTGGAACTGGCAGTGGTTACTGAAGAGGAGGAAAATTTTAAGGTGGGGTAAGGAATTAGAAAGCCATGAGTTAGAATAGGGAGGAATGACATAAAATGACATTAGTAGGCAACTAGGTAAACAAATGCTTTTAATGTCAGGAGCCGCATTTTTAAAGTGTTTTTTGCCTGTATTGCTGACATGACATTAGGTTTTTGCTTCCTGGACATTATCCTAGGTTTGGGGGCAAGGGAGGATTGAGGGTGGTCTTAACTGCATATGTACCTACAAGATTTATGTCTTCATTGTACTGAAGCAAGATGAGTATATGACTTTGGAGGCAAATTTATGTATTTTCTGCAATATGTACTTTTCAAGAAAGCGATAAGCCTACTGAAGTCTTTGTCCTATATGGAAACCTTTGCCCTATCTCTACAAAAGCTAGTTGGTGTTGATTTCTTCCTTCTAAACAACAGTGCACACTGTTCAATGAGATGGAGCTGCAAGAACATTGTAGGGTGGTTATCTAAAAATCTGCTTCTGCTAACAGGAAGAACAGAATCCTGTCCGCATGGAACTACAAAAAGAGGAAGCCACAAGTATGCAAACAGCTTCTGCTGTCAGTAAATGGCTGAATATAACTGCTCAAGTAAGTTGTAGGCATTCTCCATTTTCCCTGGTAAGAAGGATCAGATATTTATGCTATAAATAGGAAAGTGACTGTGACCTAGATCCAATTCTTAGCCCCAACTACGTACAGTAGGTCCACTGAATCAGTGGGATTTGTATATGTTTGGCCTGTGATTCAGCAGCTGATTTGTGGGTCTGCTCTGTTTAGGACTGCCAACAGAATTTAGGCCTCTGAGTATGTTGTGTGTACTCAGATTCCTTTTCATGGCCTAAAATTAAAGACCCATTTCACACTCAAATATGACTTTTTCCCCTGTCTGTTCCCGAACCAGTGGCAGGCACAGCCAAGACCACTGTCTACTTTTTCCTTTGTCTACTAAGTTGGGGGAGCAGTGCTTCCTTGCCAGCTGTTTAAACTTCTAGAATTTGCAACAGATTTTTGGCTTTAATAGTGTCAGTTCTAGTACAGTATGTCTTGCACAAAAGTTCAGTGGTCATGCACTGGGATCACATTGCATTGAAAGTTTTGGCAAGGTAAGTATTTTTTTTTAAACCTCGACAGCTTATTATTTTTTGAAAAGTAATTTATTCTCATGCCTTTTGTAGTATTTAAAAAGTTATTTGTTGTCATTACAGTGCTTAAAAAGTAACTTGATACTGTACCTGTTGCATTGAACATTGCTTTTTTTGTTTTTTCATTGCCTTTGGAAGGAAGGAGCCCTAGGAGTTAATGACACAACACATAAAAATCCCTGTCAGAATATCTGTGGAAATTCCTTAAAATGTGACTTTTTAAAAGAAATAGCCAGGAAATGTTAACTTATTGCACCAGTAAAGATCTTCTTGCATTAATTTTGAAATGTAACTTCGTTACACTCTCATTAATTCACCCCCAATACCTCTTTAGAGGTAATAACATTGTTTGTAATTCATTGCTTCCAAATACTGCAAATCAGGGGCTGCCTACACTACATAATGCTGGATGTTGAATTCTTGCAACATGGCTTTTTTTTTTCTGCCTAAAACAATGTTCTCCAATCCTTTTAAAGTCATGACCCCCTTTTATAATAATCTTAGAACTACAGAGCTGGAAGGGACCCTATGAATCACTGAGTCCAGATCCTCTCAAGGAGGCACAGTGAGGGATTGAACTCCCAACCTCTGGCTCTGCAGCCAGATGCCTAAGCCACTCAGCTATTCAACCTAATAGCCAAGTAACCTGTAACTTCCCCACCATAATCTCATAAAAAAGCGTTTTTAATGAAGTAAAGAAAACAATTTTTTTCAGAGTATAATTCCAATCTAGTATTTAATGTGATGGTATTACTTGCATCTGGGCAACCGGCTTCAAAATTCATGGCTGAGTGTTCGTTAAAGCCACTTGCCCCACCTCCCAGACAGTCCCTTTAATGGGCTCCAGGAGGGTGGGTGAAAACTGGGTTTCACTGGGAACGGTGAGTTTTTTCTTAGGAAGGGAATTGTCGCCTTTGAGACCTCTCTTCTAGTGTGGCTCTGCCACTGCAGCCGCCTCAGCTGTCCTCCCTTAGGTAGCGGCGGCGGCAGTGCACAACTGAGGCGAGGAGGGGCCAAAATCCCTTTGGCAGCGATGGTGGCTGTTTCTTCCTCCTCTGCCACCATTTCTCCCCCTCCAGCCTGCTGCTGCTTCCTCACCTTTCAAATCCCTCCATAGCAAATGGGAGTGTGCAGCCAGGGAGCCTCAGGCACCCTCAGTGAGGCATGAAGGCACCTTGGCAGCAACATTCCCTCTAATTACTTGACAGTCCTGGGCGGAGGCCCTGCCCTGCCCTGCCCTGCGAGCACGGGTTACTGGCTGCAACCAGAAGCAAATGGGCGGCAACACGGGCTGCTGGTGCACAGGACGGATGCAGTGCTACAAGACCGCACAGCTTAGAGGGGGTATGAGCGAGGGAGGGGTGGGGGGGCATGTGAAAGGGAACAGTCTCATGGCACAGTGGTGAAACTGCAGTAAAATCTCTGCTCATGACTTGAGTTCAATTGCAACAGGCTCAGGTGGCCGGCTCAAGGTTGACTTAGCCTTCCAGTTTGCTGAGGTTGGTAAATTGAGCGCTCAGCTCACTGGAGAGTGACAGTGCGTTGCTTGCATAAAGAGTGCCTTAAGCACTATGGGGCTATGTATAAGCAGCGTGCCGTGCTTTTGCTTTCGTGATTTGAGGACAATGTGTCCCCCTCTGCTGAAAACCGCAGCAACCCCCCAGAAAACACTTTGTGACCCCCGGGGCTATGTATAAGCAGCGTGCCTTGCTTTTGCTTTCGTGATTTGAGGGCAGTGTGTCCCCCTCTGCTGAAAACCGCAGCTAGCCCCCAGAAAACACTTTGTGACCCCCTTTGGGAACATGATCCATATGTTGGGAACACATGGTCTAAAGATAAAATAAAATAAAGCTTATCTCTCCCCCCCAAACCCTTCGCTGTGTCCAGTCTTCCTGCTGGAGGGAGACACAGCTTTCAAGAGAGCAGGGATCATTCATCCAAACTTTGCCTTAGAAGACACTCATGGCAGCAAATGGTGCTGTAAACCAGGGAGGTGCAAATGGGTCTCGATCTGTTCAGTGATTTGCTGCAGATTGCCAAGCATTTTAATTCACTGGCTATGAAAAAATGAAAAAAAAATGAAGGAATCCAGGAATGTTTTTCCCCCTTGTGGAAAAAATCATAAAGTTCCTCCAGTTTTGGTATTCAGAACAAATGCCTGGCATCATAATTCTTTAATTCAAATTGTACACCTTTCTTTTCTTTTCTTTTCTTTTTACCAGGTCGAAGTTGGTGGAATTTGGTGTTATAGTTTGAGGAGGGAGAGAAAGGCTTCCTAGAGGCTGGAGGTCTACCACTCTCTGCTGTAAACAGTAATTGCTTCCAAAGGTGTTGCAATACTGCCACATGATCACAAGAGGGCAGGGGAATATGATGGATGAAGCTTCAGTTACTTATTTAAAATTTCGATAGCTCTTCCACCACTGCAGTGGTTAAATGGGTAGTAATACTACAAACAACAACCTTTGAACAGCATATCTGGAAGGGACCCTATGGATCATCGAGTCCAACCCCTCTCAAAGAGGCACAGCGGGGAACTGAACTCTCAGCCTCTGTCTTTACCACTGAGCTATCCAGCAAAGAAGAGTTGCTTCTTAATGTGTGGTGTTTTAGAGCAATTATATCTTCTCTGATTTTGTCATTTGCATCAGAATTTGCTATTCTGCTTATCAGGAATAGGAATGAGGAGGGGTGTGGCTGCACAATCTCTGTATGCTTTGCAAGTATTTATTATGCAAATCTAGCACCCCCATCGCTCAAAAAAGCATTGTGGTTGCTAGAAAGAAAACAATCTGAAATTTTCTTTTCTTCTGAGGTGTTCTAAATCAGTGGTTCTTAACCTTTGTTACTCGGATGCTTTTGAACTGCAACTCCCAGAAACCCCAGTCAGGACAGCTGGTGGTGAAGGCTTCTGGGAGTTGCAGTCCAAAACTCCTGAGTAACCCAAGGTTATTCTGAGGTGTTCTAAATCAGCCATTCTCAGTCTTTGTTTACAGCCATAAACGCAATATGAAAAAAATATAGACCGAATCAGGGTTGCTAAATCACACAACAAACTTTGTAAGGTGATGTATGAAGATTTGTTTCCATGGCCCCCTTCAAATGTGCTAGGGCCCCCCCGGGGGGGGCAATTGAGAATGACTCTTCTAGATAATCTGTATTGTCCAAAATATGTTAGAATTGCATGGTCAGAATTCTCTGGAGACTTTTCCAAATTGGGAATTTGTAGCTGAGTGGTAGCTATTGTGAATCACTGGGTCCTTTGGGGAGCAGTGGGCACCACCCCCTTACCTAAAGAGGTAATCAGTACAGGCTGGGCCTGCCCAGCCGTAACCTCAAAGGTTGCGAAGGTTACTGCTGGTATATTGAAGAGGGAATGTATGGAATATATAATGAATATACCCAAGGTTAGACTGAATGCTCTGACCAGTGTAACCACTGAATGGAAAGACCATTTTTTATTTCTTTACCTGTCTTTAGACCCTGCATTAACAAACAGAAGATCATGGACTGATCAGCACATATCCCATATATCACAAACAAACATTGCATGCTGTAGTATAAGATGCTAACAGATTTTATACTAGCATCTATACAACATGATTTTGGATTGTCTCATCCCACAGTTTTTCAGATATAAAAGCAAATTTTCCAGAGCAAATTTTCTGCCTCCCTCCAGGGGGTCACAGAGATTGCTAAAATCCCACAAAATGCAGAAATATGAAGCCAGACATGGCTAGAAGTCCACTTCCAGTTTTGAGCAATAGGTATTCTGGAGTAAGGCAAAACTTCTGGAAATTATAGGAGCTGCAATTGATTTCTCTGCTAGAAAAAGAAGTACTGGGGAGGGTTGCAGGAGCACATGCCGCCCACCCATGGTGAGTGGCATGACCTGACATAAGCTATAATGTGAGTAGCTGTTCTTGTGTAATACATTCATTTCTTTAATCTGGAATTAGTCCTCCAAATTTTACACGTGTATCAGGAAACTCTCTTGTTTTCATTTCAGAAACCTACATTGCTGAGTCTTTTGGGTTCTGCAGCTCAGCTACTTAACCACTGTGCTTTTTTAATTTTTTAGATTGTGTGTATTCTGTTGTCTTTCTTTACTGCCATCTAAGAAATTCTGGATCAGTTGAATATCTTTTACTAAACATATCCTATACTAATCACAACACTTTCATGATCACTGATGATAGTTCAGTATACAGTCACAGTATCCAATTGTAGTGTTTGCATTGTTTTATAGTCAAGTGAAAGCCAAGCGCTAAATTAGGAAGTGCAAGCTTCTAAAAAAGGCATCTTCAATGAATTGCTTTACCTGTACCATTAAGTCTCCTTGTATTTCAGAAATCTCCTGTTGGCAGCTCCGGTCAAGCAAATCCTGAAGAAATGAAAGATATGTCGTCCCCCAAAGTAAATGTCAATGATTATGGCATGGATCTGAACAGCGATGACTCTACTGATGATGAAAGCCAGCCACGCAAACCCATCCCTTCATGGGCCAATGGTAGGTGTGAATTCTTAATGAAAGGGGGGGCCAGAAGTTTATGAAACTGGAGAACTTAGGCAGGGCTTTGAAGGCTCCCTCAGGCTGCTTTTTCTTTTTGGTAGGTAGGCCTAAAACATTAAATTGCAAGTCCCTGAATTTTTCCTTGTACTCTAGTACTACAGTGGGGTCTTGACTTAAGAACGGCTCGAGTTAAGAACATTTTGACTTAAGAACCGCTCTCATAGGAAAATATTGACTTGACTTACATACTTAGATTTGAGTTAAGAACTGAAAAAAAACCACGTGGGAAGCAGGGAAAGTGCAAAATTTGAACTTTCAGTTAACTGTTGGCCAGTGAAAAGGGTGCCTGTCTGCTTCCTCACTCCTCCCAGCGTTTAGAGAGTGGATTGGGAGACAGTCTTCGTACTGCCTGGACTGTATTTTCCCTGCCTTCCCTGAACCTTTCTTGACCTAAGAAAAAAAGAAACAAAATATCCCCCTCTAGTGGTCGAAGGCAGAATAGCAGCTTCCCATTAGTTTCTATGGACGGAAAAGAGCAGATACGGATCAAATGGTTTTCAATGCATTCCTATGGGAAATGCAGATTTGACTTGAGAACTTTTTGACTCGAGAACCGCCTTCTAATACGGATTAAGTTCTCAAGTCAAGACCCCACTGTACAGATAATAGCTCCAGGTACTGCATGGTGCCTTATGAATGAAAGCCTCATAGAATTAGTTAATAGTGAAGTCTATTTGTTTATAGCACGTTTATATTTATTGATGTCATTTTGTTCCCACTGTTCTGCCAAAAGAGGTTCTGGAGAAGTTCACACGTAATCCGTAAAAAGAAGACAATTCGTGATAGCATGCTGCCCTCAGTTTTCTGTTGGATTTGGTATAGTATAGTTGCAGTTGCAGGCCCAAGGACAAGTTTTTAGCATCTGTAATAATGTTAAAAACAGTTCTCCTAGGAGGCATCCAAGGGCCCTTCCAGTTCAGCAGAGTCTACTTACTCCACAGCTCATCCTGTTTGGGGTCTAGCTCGGCTCCAGAGAGATCTGTGTGGTCGTGGGAATGTCCCCACTGTGTTGCCTACATTAGAGTTTCAGCCACTGTCTACATTGTAGATACTTACCAAAAGGGATTTCAAATTCTGCTTTAAGGTCAGCAAAGGATTTGAAATAGTCATTCCCATTCGTTAATGCAACTTGACACATTGGTGGTTTCTGCTTAATGCCAGTCATTCCCATTCATTAATGCAACTTAAGTGTTTATTCTCATTTTAACCCATTCTTGACACATTGGTGGTTTCTGCTTAATGCTGTTGAAGTAGAGACATGCTAGACGTTTACTCACCATGTGACAACTGTTGCTTCTTCAGGTCTTCAGCTTAATGAAGCTGTCACATACCAATATTACAACCCTCCAGATGTCAATAGGTTATTTGGACTAATTCCGAGCCCTAAGCTAGAGGATATCTTCTACAAAAACAAGCCAAGGTATTTCAAACGCACGAGTTCAGCTGTCTGGCAGTCCCCACCTCTTCCTGGGTCCAAAACAGCATTGCGTGCATCTAACAGCATGAAAAAATATTGAGGAGCTTTAAGATTGCTTATCAACTCATAAGCATATGTCCTATATATATATATACAGTACCTCTATAAACAATTTTAATGTTTTATATATTATGCAATAAAGATTTAAGTGTTCAAACTGTTCTGTGCTGCTGCTGCTTTTCTAAACAATTAGAGCAATTTTGCTCCTCTTGTTTCAGTCCAAGATTTTAACTGATTGATATTATGCAAACAGTAAATGATATAGACTGGTGGACTATAATATTGCTAGATTACTCCTGACAGATTTAACTGGAGCTTGTATGTTGTATATGACTGCTGGTTCTAGTAAAACAAGAAAGAGCACCAAATAATTCTGCTTAGAGGCCTATGAAAGAATTTCCAGGTTGAAAATTACGGTCCTTCATGTCTTACTCCCAAAAGCTTTTTTTTTCTTTTTAAAGTTTAATTATAGATTCCCTTCAGTCTTCTGCAGATTGAAGATTATTCATTGCTCCTTAGCTTGTTGATCCAAGGGCACAATTCCCAAATGGTTATAATACATTCATAGCAACTTGATCAAAGAAACTCATAGGACAGAAGAGCATCTCTGGACATCAAAAAGATTCCTCTCCCCAGAAAGTTAAGTTTTGTGTGACATGAAAAGGTACATGGAAACTTTGGAAGTTCTCTTAGTGTAGCTCTTATGGTAGCTCTAGGCATGGGTATATAGTAGTTATGGCAGTGTTGTGGCCTTTTTGTCTTAGAAAAATAACCTTTGAGGCAGAAGGTATAGAACAGTCTGTTTATTGTGCTAGTGGAGACAACATACTCATACATGAGCATGTAAGCAAGTAGGCTTTTAAAAGGAAAAGACCAGCAACAAAGATGTACATAATTCTTCCAAGTAAGCAAAGCTCAGGATGTAACTTAACCAAATTACTAAGAAATACATCATTGTATCAGCCCAAATTGTGTGAAGATGAGCTTTGCCTTTCCTGTTCCCAGGGATAGAAAGTAACATGGCAGTGTTAATTACTTTATTTACTTACAACAAAAAAAATACATAGACCATATTTATGATGGAACATTTCACTTTTGCATGTGCTGGCCTTGCAGGTTTTCAATAAAATATTGGCTGTACATTAATACACTATAAGCTATATTCATCGATTTAATACTGAGTATGCTAATGTGGTATAATAAGGAATTCCTCAGTAGACTGCTTTCCATACCCTTTTCCCCAAAAAATAAGACCTAACCTGAAAATACCCCCAGTTGAGTGAAAGCCCACCCTCCACCAGGGACTCATTGTGCAGCAACCAGAAGATGATGACATGACTGTATTTGAATAAGGGTACATTGTTGGACATGGTGGCGCTCCGGGTTAAACTGCAGAAGCCTCTATGCTGCAAGGTCAGAAGGCCAGCAGTCATAAGATCAAATCCACGTGACGAAGTGAGCTCCCGTTGCTCGTCCCAGCTCCTGCCAACCTAGCAGTTCAGTTCGAAAGCATGTAAAAATGTGAATAGATAAATAAGTACCACCTCAGTGGGAAGGTAACGGCATTCTGTGTCTAGTCGCACTGGCCACGTGACCACGGAAACTCTTCGGACAAATGCTGGCTCTATGGCTTGGAAACGGGAATGAGCACCGTCCCCTAGAGTCGGACACAACTGGACTAAATGTCAAGGGGAACCTTCTACCTAGATTGTTGTACATGGAAAAATAAAACATCCCCTGAAAATAAGCTCTAATGCGTGTTTTTTCTTTTTGAGCAAAAATTAATATAAGACCCCGTTTTATTTTCAGGGAAACATGGTATCTCCTCCATATAAATAAATGATGGAGACAGCTTTTTTCTTTCATTTTGGTTACTCTTTTATTATGATTGTCATCCACTGATGCTGCAAGTTCTCTATCTCAGTCCTGTCATCTGCTGAAAGCTTTAGGTCTGTACTTGTGCCTTTTACCCAAATAGACAAACTACAACAGTAATTATGGGGCTAAAATTTTGATTTTCAAACATGTCATCCCCCCCCCCATAGATTTAACCTTGTCACATAAAATAAATCAAGGAGGCTCACAGTAATTGAAGTACAGGTAAAGTTTAAAAGACAATAAATATACCAATTTAAAAACCAAACATATGATGATACATAAAACAGTGCAGGAACCTTTAAAAATACACTTAATGACCATGATCTTAGGGTGAGTCTAGCTTTAAAAGAAATGTCTATCTGATGCTGGAAGTAAAGGAGGGAAGGGCCAAGCTAGCCTCCAGAGGAAGAGCATTCAATAACCTGAGAGTAGCCACAGAGAAGGTGCTCTCATATTCCCGCCTGATGAGTCTCTGTGGGCAGTCGGATTGAGAGAAGGGCTAGACTTCGAGATCATAGGAGCTGAAAAGTTTCTGACAGGGAAACATGGTCCTTCAGACAACTGGACCTGCCATATAGGGCTTTATAGATCATAAACCTCTGCTTACCTAAGGCTTGTGTCCATTAAACACAATATGGATGAGTTGGATTGAGTTAATAAAGTTTATATAACTGGATTGGATCATGAGGCAAATCTGTTTGTATACAGTATGTTGACACAGCCTGTTTCACTTTGTTTCTTTTAGATGACTAATGATGGGCTATGTAGGGATAAGAGCAGATAAATATTGTATTTAGCTGGGGAGGAAGTTGAGGTACAAAAAATCCATTAGCATGGCCATCTTTTGAGAGAGTGGGGTGACTTGCGGCCTGAATTTCTCTGCTTTGAGAAGGATACAGGTCTTGCCGTAACTCTTCAATTTTTTTCCTCCCCTCCCCCTCTTCTCTCTGGGAATACTGAGTCAGACGTAGCTTAGTATTGTCTACACTGACTGACTATGACACCGTGGGGTTTCTAGCAAGATTGTTTCCTTAGATCTACCTGTGACCTTCCACATGCAAACCATACGATCTACCACTGAGCTATATAGCCTTACCTGCATATATTTGCATCACATAAATTAAAGGCAAATATCTTCTAGCTATATCTTTCATAGAAAGCTGATAAAATGATGTGTTTTGCAACTTGGCCAAATATGTAACAGCTGCTATGGGAGTTAGAAGAGGGGGGAAAAAGGTTTCAGCCTCCTTAGGAGACTTCACAGACACTCAGCTGAAGGCTCTCTCCTGCTTCTAGTTTGCTGTCTTCTCTAGGGGCTGTGGTGTATGTTCCACTTCCCAAAAATATTAAGCTGGTGGGTGGGGAGGTGGGATAGGGCCATCTCTGTGGCAGCACAATGGTTTGCAGAGTTCCTCCCCAAGAAAATCAGACAGCAATCCTTCTTTGCTTAGTTTGGAGGAGGGTGTAAGTATTTTGTTCCACCTGGCTTTTATTTGTTCTGAAATTGTTTAGTTTTCCTTTTTGTACAGTTCATTGGGGACCATATTTGGACCAGAAGACAGGTTAGAAATCTAATTAATAAATAAAAGCTACTGTTTACTCTTCTATAAAAGATTACCTAGAGGAAATGATCATTTGGGATCCAAAGTGATCGGCTGAATGTTCCCTCTTCGGGTTGTCTGGTTATGACCCATAAATCCTTATATGATCTGGGTGCGGGCTGTCTGAAAGACTGTATTCTCCAATACAGTCTGCCCAACCTTTGAAATCTGCAGGAGAGTATTTTTAAAGCATTTATGCTTTCATTTATTATATTTGTATCTTGGGGTTTTGAATTTTGTGTAAACTGCCCAGAGTAGACATGTTCTAGATGGGTGGTATAGAAGTCTAATAAAATAAATAAATAAAATTCTGAAGGTTGCTCATCTCCTTGATGTCCTTCGGAACACAGCCAAACAGCCCGAAAAACCTACAACAACCACCAGATACCAGCCGTAAAAGCCTTCAAGAATACAAATAAAATTCTCTCAGTCTGACTCAGTTTCAGAGGTGTGTTTGGTGAGAACAGGAGAGAGTGGCCACTCCCAGGCTTATCAAGGAAGGCAAGGCCGCTTATCTCCTTGATGCCCTTCCGCTAGCACGGAGGAACCTTATTTAGCAGACCTTTGGCAATTGTCTGAATACTGGGACTAGGCTTTAAAAGAAGTGCTGGTTTTTTCCCCCTTTTTTAAAGTAGAATTCTTTTTAACTTTCATTTTAATGTCTTCTAAAGTGTGGTTTGTTTTAATGTAATGGGTTTAATTATGTTTTAATATTTATAATATATTGTTTCTAAGTGCACTTCTTTCAAAATATATTGGAAGCCACCTTGGATTCCTGTTGTTCTTGTTTTTGGTGGAGGAGAGGTGAGATAGAAATCACAGTCATAACAAATAACAGGCTCTAATAGTCTACACTGATAATTAAGAGGTGATCCTGCAGTATAGAAACACCACATCAGTGTTCTTGAAAGAAGCATGTCAAGATTTGTCTGAGTAAGTATCCAAAGCAGCAGTTAGGCACAGAAAATACATATGTTGCTCTGGTCCAGGTTGGCAACCCGTAATAAGAGTGTGCCCAAAGCCAGACTAATTGCTATCTTAATGTGAAAGTGAGCATACAGTCATGTGAAAAAGAAAATGCACCCTCTTTTAATTCTATGGTTTTCAGGATCAAGTTATAATAAAAACCATCTAATCCTTAGCAGGTCTGAAAATTAGGTAAATACAACTTCAGATGAACAACAATGCATGACCTACTACACCGTGTCATGATATATTTTACCAAAATAAATCCAAAATGGAGAAGCCATGTGTGGAAAAACTAAGTACATCTTATGATTCAGTAGCTTGTAGAACCATCTGTACCACCAATAACTTGAAGTATTTTTCCCCCAGTATTACTTTATCAGTCTCTCACATGGTTGTGGAGGAATTTTGGCCCACTCTTCTTTACAACGTTGCTTCTTCACTGACGTTTGTGGCCATTTGTTTATGCACAGCTTTCTTAAGGTCCTGCCTCAGTACGTATTTCAATCTGGTTGAGGTCTGGATTCTAACTGGGACACTGCAACCCCCTGATTCGTTTTTTAGCAACGCCCAGCCCTTTCCTTTTTGTGAAAACACCGGCTTTCTTTTGCAGGGGCTCTATATTCTCCCTCCTCAGCCATTCTGTTGTAGATTTGCTG